CTGGAAAATCCTTCGGTTAGTTTCATTTTAAGCTCCAAATGACTGGTCAATTTTCCTTTCGATGTACATTTGAAGGATTCTGAATGTGGTGTAGAGTACTGTATGGGGGCTAGGGCAGAAATCATACTAAACTCTGATTCTATTCAGAATTAGCAAGCCCCAATCATATTAATATTTACATCATTATTTAATATCTTCCTTAATAGTCTATAAACTTTATGGGAGCAAGACTAGCTTTGTCTTGTTCACAGCTGTATTTTCAGCATTTAGTACAGGTCTAGCATATAGCAAGTGTTCAATAAATACACGGTTAATGAATAAATGTACTATCCAATTTAAATATGTGTGCATGTTTGTACATACTTGTCTGTAAAATGAAAATAATAATATCTGCAAAGTGCTTAATAGTACAACCACTTGCCAGATCTCAGCAAAAATGTTACCTCTCCAGAGAGACCTTCTAAAAGAGTATCCCTTTTCTCCCACTACTCTCTTTTCTTGTGTAAGATCGCATTTATTTGTTGCTTTGTTTAGTATGTGTGTCTTTCCACGAGAGCAAGGAGGACCTTGTCTCTTTCATTCCCTCTTATATCCTCTATGTCTGAAATAATCATGGCTAGTGATTAAGAATTGTTGAATATATAAATGAATCATGCCAACCTACCAAGAATGAAGCACAAGATCTTAAGATATTTGTCCAAATTCCTGCCTCTTAATAGGATCAGAAATTTTTTCCCAATACTTCTCAACCATTATAAAAATACTATTCATTTTCACATTCAAGTAATGAAAGAATCAGGACATTCCTTTTGGAAGAAATAGTTTCAAAATTTTATCTAAATTGCAAAACTATACAAACAACTCAAGTGATCATTGATGGGGGACTGGTTTAAGAAATTACAGTGCAGCTCTTCACTAGAATGTCATGCAGCTGTTATAAGAAAAACCAGGACAGAGATGAATGTGGTGGCTCCCACCTGTAATCCTAGCACTTTGGGAAGCTGTTTGCATGTTTGTGTATATTTCCTTGTCTGGAAATGGAAATTATAAATAACTGCAAAGTGCTTAGCACAGGAGGATTGCTTGAGGCCAGGAGTTTGAGACCAGCCTGGGCAAGATGGCAAGACCCCATCTCTAAAAAAAATTTTAAAAACACTTAGCTGGGTGTAGTGGTACACACCTGTGTGTATTCTGGAGGCTGAAGCAGGAGGATCACTTCCTCCCAGAAGTTTGCGGCTGCAGTGAGCTATGCTCATGCTACTGCACTCCAGTCTGGGTGACAGAGTTAGATCCTGTCTTTGCAGGGGTTGGGGGGAGAAAATAAATAAATAAATAAATATTTCACTAAAAAAATGAAGACCTCTGTGCACTGGTACAGAAAGCCCTCAAAAGTACATGGTTAAAAATGTTTTTAGTGGGCAGAATACTGTGTATTCTGGGGTCTCTGCTATGTAAAATTGGTGGAGAAGTAAGATCTATATTCATAATTTGGTTGAATGCACATAAAGAAACCTTGAAAAGTAAGTAGAAATAATTATGGTTTCCTGGGGTGAGAGCAAACCAGGCAGCTTTGAGACTAGAGGTGGGAGGCAGATTTTTTTTTTATGGTATTTTGAGCCATTTGAAGATATTATGAAAAAAAAATTAAAAACATAGAGAGACAGTACTGTTGATTGCTTAACTTCCTTCAGTTAAAATAAACCTGATACCAATTCTGTTCAGAGGAGAGCAGCCAAAAGCACAGGCTGTGACTTGCCAGCAAATGGCAGGGACCAGTAGTTTCCTCCCTACCTAATCCCCAATGCCAAACAGAATGATATTGTTGGACTTAAGGTCTTAACCTGTAGGGAAACTGGGATTCAGAGTGATTTTACTTCTGTTCTTAAGAGCAGCCTTTTCTCTTAAAGCCTGCCAATAAATTTTTGTGAATGCTTCCCCTCCCATGGAATATATAGGCAAGAGAACCCTAGATAACACTTTACTAAACTGGACCTTAGAAAAATCTTATCTTGGAAAGCTTTCTCCTCAGTTTTTCTGTATTTTAATGTTTCCTATCAATCTAGTTCTTATCTACTATTAATATAGATTAGCATTGTCCAAAAGAATGTTCTACAACAAAAGAAATGTTTTATGTCTGTACTAACCTATATACAATAGCCACTGGCCACATGGGGATATTAACCACTTGAAATGTAGCTAGTGTGACTGATGAACTAATTTTAAAATTTATTTAATTCAGTTTTTTTAAAAACTGCCAATGTAGACAGTGTAGTAGTCACATAAATCTGGTTCAAGCAGTAAAGGCACATTTCAGATCTATCCCTTCTGAAAAAGCCATTTATTCATTCAACAAACATATGCCAAGTACTTACTATGGGCCAAATGCTACTATAATTTCAAGGGATAGTGGCATGAACATAACAGAAAAGGCCCCTGCTCTGGTAGAACTTACATCACAGTGGCCAGGTACAGTGGCTCATGCCTGTAATCCCAGCACTTTGGGAGACCAAGGTGGGTAGATCACGAGGTCAGGTGTTCAAGATTAGCCTGGCCAACATAGTGAAACCCCATCTCTATTAAAAAGACCAAAAATTAGGCGGGTGTGGTGGCGGGTGCCTATAATCCCAGCTACTCAGGAGATGGAGGCAGAAGAATTGCTTGAACCTGGGAGGCAGAGGTTGCAGTGAGCCGAGATCATGCCACTGCACTCCAGCCCAGGCAACACTGCAAGACTATCTCAAAAAAAAAAAAAAAAAAAAGGAACTTACATCACACTGCAAAGATCAGCAAACTGCAGCCCATGGGTCAAATCCAGCCCTCTGCCTGTTTTTGTATAGCCTTTGAACTAAGAATGTTTTTTTTTTTAATGGTTGAAAAAATAACTAAAAGAGGAATACTAATTCATGACCCATGAAAATTAAATGAAATTCTAGTTTCAGTATCCATAAATAAGGTTTTATTGGAACACAGCCATGTCAAAATTTATCTATGTATTGTCAATGGTTGCTATCTCAAGGGCAGAGTTAAATACCTGTAGCAGAGACCATATGGCCCACAAAGCCTCAAATATTTACTATCTGGCCCTTTACAGAAAAAGTTTGCTGACCCATATTCTAGTCAAGAGTAAAATGCTTGGCACCATGATAAGCATTTCACATGCATTATCACATTCAGTCTTCAGGACAAATCTCTGATGGTGACTCTGTTAGTCGCTCTGTTGGTAAAATGTGAAACTGAGGTTCAGAGTGATTAATAATTCAAATAAGGTCATGCAGTTCATAAGAGGCAAAACTGGGAGACAGTATCACATGACTATATGACTTAGTAGCCAATATATTTAGCCATCATACTATAGACTGTTGCTTTTCATACTTGAATGTACATACCATTTACCTGGGATCTTGTTAAAATGTCAACATCTACTAATTCAGTAGATCTGGAGTGGGGCCTGATAATGTGCACTTCTAACAAGCTTCCAGGTGATAATGATGATAATGCTGGTTCATAAATCACAGCCTCTAAATCAGTGATTCTCAACTATCACTGTTGCCCATTAAAATCTTCTGAGGAAATTAAAAAAATATGTGAATGGGCAAAGAGCCCACTCCCAAATATTCTGATTTAGTGGAGCCAAGACCTAGGCATCAGAGTTTGTTTTTAAACAAAGTTTTCTTGGTAATTCAAATGTACAGCTGAACTGTGAACCATTGCTCTATTGAAATCCTGTTGAATGATAGTAAAAACATCCAAATGGGAATCCGAAGACCAGAGTTCTAGTTCTAACTCTGGTATGACAGAATGAAGCAGGCTGTTCCCTTCTCTGGGCCTCTGGTTTTCTTTGCAGGTGAAAAATGAAAAAGCTGGAACCAGATGGTCTCAGACGGCACAAGATCACTGACTTGTCATGTCTTCACACAAACAAATGAGAGGGGCAGAAGTACCCAGGTTTCCTGATGCATTGGATATATCAACATGACATCCAAACACTGGTCCATTTAGAGTGTTTATAATCTGCAATTATGCATTGTTTTGGCAATGTATCAATACAGAAATGTTTCCACATAGCCAGACTGCTTTACACAGAACTGTAATCAGAATGATGATTTAATGATTATGAGAGTAATACATATTGCATTATAGGAAATTTGGAAAATTATAGGAAGTATAATGAGGAGAACCTCACTCATAATCCCTAGAACTGTATTTTTAACAGCCTCAACCAAATAAATAACATGTAATCAAATGATTTCCCACAGAAGCAGGTGATGGCCCAGAGGGGCCTCCTCCACAAAACTCCTAAATGTTAAAGCCCCATTATTACATCTCCAGTAAATGCAGCTCTAAGCCTAGACTTGAAAGTAGTGAGGGCCCCTATTGAGAACATGGGAACTGCAGCCTATAAACTAGACAGTTTATAAACTGTGACAGTGCTTTCATGTCTAATTGGTACTACCATTGGGCTACTGTCGGTTGCTTCATCTACAGAGTATCCACTTTGAAAAATGTTCCTTAACATTTCTGCCCTACTTTGAAATCTGCAGGTGAAAGACATCAGACAAAAAGGCTTAGCCCCTTGCTTTCAGCGAGATTAAGTGGGTGACTCAGGTTTTTAGTTCTTTAGAAATGCATATAGGAGTCAATAGGGCACAGTATTCAGGAGAATGGGCTTGGACCTGATAGTTCTGGGTTCCAATCCAACCAATGCCTCTTACAAATAATTTTCTCAACCTGTAAACAGAGATGACAATAGTACCCACTTCACAGGGTTTCTCTGAGGATTTAATAATGAATTGTATATAAAACACTGAGCACAGTTTTTAGAACACAAAATGTACTCAGAAAATGGTACTATCATGATGATTGTCAATAATAACAAAACTTAGCCACTTTGGGGTATGGCTACCTTCAGGGACAGAAACAAATATATGTCCTTTTTGCTTGTCTTTTAGATGAACTGGTCTCTGTGCAAATCCTGAGTGCTAAAAGATCCAACAAAACTGATGCTAGCTCATGTCACCATGAAGATGCTACGTCATGCCAAGTGCTTTCAGCGCCTGCCAATTTCTGGTTCTGTGAGGGCACTGCATAAAGATAATAGAACAGCAACCCCTCAGAATTTCTTCAATTATGAATCCATGAAACAGGACTTCAAACTGGAGATTCCAGAGTATTTCAACTTTGCTAATGATGTCCTGGACCAATGGACTGATAAGGAAAAGGTATGGGGCAAGGGCCAGTCAGACCACAGTTTCTTAACTGGGAGTAATTTTGCCCCTAGGTAACATCTCTAATGTCTGGAAATACTCTTGTTGCTGTGACAGGGGTGGAGACAGTTTCTACCGATATCTAACAGGTAAAAGCCAGGGATTCTGCTAAATATCTCGTAATGCACAGAGCAGCCCCCAGAACAAGGAATTCTTTGACCCAAAATGTCAAGAGTTCCATGGTTAGTTGAGAGACCCTGGATTACATAAATGTAGAATTCCAGGTTGATTAAAAAAAAAACAAAAACAAAAAGGAGAAGTGTGTAAAGTAATTCCAGGAGTCAGAAATGGTAGAAAAGAAGGCACAGATAAATCATTGGAGAAAATGTAAAGGAATGCAAGAATTCTCACTTATTGTAAAGAAAAATGATCAGGCTAAATGGGAAATGATGTGGGCCAAAAGAAACGACATGGCTTCCACCATCTAGAAATAAGGTCCCCAAAGTTATTATTTTTTTCTGTTATTTTTAGTTACATAATAATTATACATGCTTATGGGGTACAGAGATGTTTTTTGATACATGTATAAAATGTGTAGTGATCAAATCAGAGTAATGAGGCTACCCATCATCTCAAACATGCATTATTTCTTTGTGCTGGGAGCATTCAAAATCCTCTCTCCTGGCTTTTTAAACATACACAATAAATTATTCTTTACTGTATTTACCCTATAGTGCTAGAGAACACTAGAACTTATTCTTCCCATTTAGCTATAATTTTGCATCCATTAACCAATGTCTTCCTATCCTCCTCTCCCTACTACCCTTCTCAGCCTCTAATAGCCACAATTCCACTCTCTACTTCTATGAGCTCTTTTTTCTTTTTTGAGACAGAATCTCAAGCTGGAGTGCAGTGGTATGATGATCTTGGCTCGCTGCAACCTCAGCCTCACATGTTCGAGAGATTCTTGTGTCTCAGCCTTCCAAGCACCCAAAACTACAGGCACCTGCCAACACACCGGCTAATTTTTGTATTTTTAGTAGAGACAAGGTTTTGCCATGTTGGCCAGGCTGGCCTTGAACTCCTAGTCTCAAGTGATCCACCTACCTCAGCCTCCCAAAGTGCTGGGATTATAGGCCTGAGCCACCCGCTGTGCCTGGCCAAGCTCTTTTTTTTTTTTTTTTTTAAGAGACAGAGTCTTGCTCTGTTGCCCAGGCTGAAGTTCAGTGAAGCTCATTTTTTTTAAGATCTCAAATATGAGTAACAACATGTGGCATTTATCTTTCCATGTCTGACTTGTTTCACTTAACATAATGTCCTCCAAGTTCATACATGTTGCCATAAACAAAAGAATTTCATTCTTTTTTATGGCTGAACAGTATTGCACTGTACAATACTATACCACGTTTTCTTTATCCATTCATCTGTTGATGGACATTTAAGTTGATTCCTTATCTTGGCTTTTATGTACAGTGCTGCAATAAACATGGCAGTGCAGCTATCTCTTCAATATACTGATTTTCTTTCCTTTGAAAAAATATCCAGTGGTGAGATTGCTAAATCATATGGTGGTTCTAATTTTAGTTTTTTGAGAAGCCTTTATATTGTTTTCTGCAATGGCTATAGTAATTTATATTCTCACTAATAGTGTTTAAGAGTTCCCTTTTCTCCACATCCTCTCAAGCATTTGTTATCTTTTGTCTTTTTGATAATAGCCATTCCAACTGGGGTAAGATGATAACTCATTGTGGTTTTGATTTGAATTACCCTGATGATTAATGATGTTGAGCATTTTTTCATATACTTGCTGCCAATTAGTATGTTTTTTGAAAAATGTCTATTTAGATCCTATGTCCATTTTTTAATTGAATTATTTGTGGGTTTTTATTTATTTATTTATTTATTTATTTATTTATTTATTGCTGTTGAGTTATTTACATTCCCTGTATATTCTGGATATTAGTTCCTTGTCAGATGAATAGTTCACAGATGTTTGCTCCCATTCTACGTCTTGCCTCTTCTGTTGATTGCTTCCTTTACTGATCAGAAGCTTTTTATTTGATACAGTCCCATTTGTCTGTTTTTGTTTTTGTTGCCTGTTTTCATATCCTTATCCCTTAAATATTTGCTAGGGGAGTCTCAGAGCCTACTCTGGCTCAGAAGGCTGTCCGATTTTATTAAATTTATTCTAAAATTTAAAAAAATAAAAATATTAAAATTTAAAACAAAAATATTTGCCTAGACCAATGACTTGAAGCATTTACACTATTTTCATCAGTTGTTTTATAGTTTTGAGTCTATTTGTCATGTAGTTATCTGCTCAATGTTTTGGTCCTTCTGATAGGACGTGAGTACTGGGCATCTTTAGTCATCCATCTTGATGATGTCTCTCCTAGAGATATTTCCCAATACTCCATGCATGTTCTAACTAATGACTTGTGAATTTTCTTCAGCTAATATATTCCACTAAGTCAGCTGACCCAGAAGTTAGCTGTATAACAACCTTTAAATCCATGACTGGTTTGTCTTTCCTCAGGCTGGAAAGAAACCTTCAAATCCAGCCTTCTGGTGGATCAATGGAAAAGGAGAAGAGGTGAAATGGAGTTTTGAGGAATTGGGATTTCTGTCCAGAAAACTTGCCAATGTACTTTCAGAAGCCTGTTCCCTACAAAGAGGAGATCGAGTAATTTTGATTCTGCCCAGGGTCCCAGAGTGGTGGCTTACAAATGTGGCCTGTCTGCGAACAGGTTAGTAATGTTTGCTTTCTGATCATATTTAAACTAAGCTGGATGGGAGATTTTCCTAAATAATCATAATATATTTATTTTGGTGTGGGCTTATTGTCAAAAAGTATCTTTAAATTATATAAAAGTGTTAAGTCATGGTAGGCTAATTCCTTATCCCTAGGTGGAACATCTTTAAAGGATAACCTTAGAGTTATAGGCTCACGAAAATTGTTGTGTTGGCCTGATTAGAAAGAAAAGAACCTGGTTCTGCCTCCTGGTTGTTGGTTTCTTGAAGAACCCTGCTGGAGAAAACTGGTCCTTCCCAAAGTAAAATAACGAGCCAGTGTCAAGAGTCCAGGAATGGCAGATATATGTTCCCCAATCTTCTTGCCTGCTGTGTCACCTGGGAAGAGTAAAACCTATTGTGAAGTGAATAACCTCCATCCCTGTCTTAAGGGTCTGGAACCTAAGGGTGGTGGGGCCCAGGAGGCAGATTACATATTTTTGAGAGTCCATTTATCCTTTGAGAAAATTATATCCAAAGCTTACTGAGCACTGTTCTAAGTTCTTTACATCTTTTAACTCATTTAATCCTCTAATTATCCTATAAGGGAAGTATTATTATTATAATATCATTTTACAGATGAGAACCTGAAGCTCACAGAGATGAAGTGGCTTGTCCAAGTCTCAGCTATAAGTGTGTCTGGCTCCAGGACACTCTTAATCATTATACTTTATCTTACAGTATAATATACAACCAGCAGGAATAGAACCACAGAAAAGATGAATGCCTCCACCCTTTCTTTGGAAAGAAATTATAAAACAATCATGTACATTTTAAGAGGCACTAAGTTGAAGTAGTCAAGTTCACAGTTCTGGAGTCAGGCTACAGGGTTCAATTCCTGCACTGTCACTTACTACTTAGGTAATATCTTGGGCAAGTTATTCATAGCTTTTTTTTTTTTAGGTTTTTTTGGTGGGGACTGAATGAGTTAAAACATATAATCAAATAATAAATATTGGGTAATATTACTTTTCAATCAAAACTTTCTTCAAGCTCAATGTTATGGATGGTCTTCAAATAAAGAATAATTATCCAGTATTTAACATGATTTCATGTTAGGCCAAAAGGGTCATAGACTCTGAAATCCCTTGAAAGGCAAAAGCAAATAAATGGAAGTAAGATAAATAGATACCTTCCTCATAAACTGACTAACTCATTCTGAGAAATCCAGAATGTATGGATGTTATCTACACTACTCTAACTAACATAATGAAAAATACCCTTTCTTCTAAACACCATTTCTTTTCTGCTCCTTTAGGGACAGTTTTAATCCCAGGAACCACTCAGCTGACCCAGAAAGACATTCTCTACAGACTTCAATCTTCAAAAGCAAAGTGCATTATCACCAATGATATTTTAGCCCCAGCAATAGATGCTATTGCACCCAAATGTGAAAATCTGCACTCCAAGCTGATTGTGTCACAGAACTCCAGAGAGGGATGGGGGAACCTCAAGGAGATGATGAAGTGAGTAGCCATGTTTGTTGTAGAACAGCTTCACAAAAGGAAAGGCAACAATAAAAAGATATTCAACCCAGTAGTGATTAGAAAAATGCAAATGAAAACCATAGGCAAAGGAAACAATCGGTAGTTACTGCTGTACTAATAGTGCTAAACTCCTAGGTGGTAAGGAGCTTGGAGGGCTTTTTGTAGGTTGGGATCCCCTGAGATGGAGATTGGTGTATAAGAAGTTTGTTAAGGAGTTCTGTTGGTATTAACACCTGTGAAGGAAGAGAAAGAATGTAGGATTGGGTAGAGAAAGAAATTTATTTGTGATGTATTCCTTGCAAAGCCTTCAGTCAACCCACTGGGACTTCTGAAGGCTGAACAGTTCCCAAAGCTATTCCCAGCTAAGGTAATAGGTCCTGGCCTTTCTACACCCACATTGGTCAGTAATTATGTGGGCTGACCCTTGGAGGCAAGACCTTTAACAAGGCAGCTCTCTTCAGTCAAGGCATTCTCTAAAGAGGGCTCCCAGCTCCTGTGGGGATTAAGTCCTTCATTCCTGCAGAAGGATCTTGGAAGTGCATCACAGCATCAATCACAGAGCTGTTATGATCTCCCAGGGAAACTGATCACAGTCAGTCCTTCAGTGTTGGCTATGCCATTCCCTTGCTGACAGCCAACACTGGTATCAAGTTAAAATAAGAAAAACACTTAATGTTAATCAGTGAAATTATAAAACTGAATTTCACTGATGTTCAAGCCTAGCTTAGGGGGCTTCCATGGGTTACTTGGAATTCTTACCAAGTACTGGCTATAACTTAGAATTGGGCTGGCAGCAAAGTCCTTCACTAGAATGAGCTTCCTATCTTTACTCAAGGATTTGGGAGCATGCTTGCAACTATGGACTTGTTCCTATAACATTTAAAATTACTAATATTGAGTTCTTGCCAAAGGACAAGTACTGGTCTAATAAAAATAATGTTGTAATTGCAATCATAGCTTATATTGATATGGTTATGTACCAGAAACTATTCTAAGGACTTCAGATATATTACCTCATTAAAACGTCCCAGCAACCTAGATACTATAATTACACAGATGAATAAGGTCAAATGCTAGTACCTAGCAGAGCTAAGTTTCAAATCCAGGTAGTATGGTTGCTGAGCCTACATTCCTCACTTCTGTATGTACTGCTTCTAGTAAGAGATCAGTAACTCTGCCTCAGGTTTTCAGGGCAACCGTGTTGGTAACAGAAGTGATAGGAACATGACTATAAATACTATTTTTAATTAATTAAGATAATTATGGAATCATAGACTGAACATTTGGTGTAGCTCTGTCAGGTTTTGAAAACAGCTTTTCAGCCAGGTGCAGTGGCTGATGCCTGTAAATCACCACTTTAGGAAGCTGAGGTGGGATGATGGTTTGAGTCCAGGAGTTCAAGACCAGCCTGGGAAACAGTGTGAAACCTCCTCTCTACATAAATAAAAATAATTATACATAGTGAAACCAGTTCTCTACATAAATAAAAATAATCAGCCAGGCATGGTGATGCATGCATGTAGTCCCAGCTACTCGGAAGGCTGAGGTACGAAGATCACTTAAAGCAAGGAGGTTGGGCCACTGCATGCCAGCCTGGGCAAGAGAGACACACAGATAGATAGATAGAGAGAGACAGAGGAGACAGAGAGAGGAAGAGAGAGAGAGAGAGAGAGAGAGAGAGAGAGAGAGAGAGAGAGAGAGAGAGAGGGGGACTGCCTCAAAAAAAAAAAACTCAAAAAAAAAAAAAGTAAGAGCTTTTCTATATTTCTTATGAATGACCTGGTTGTTTCCACTCATTCTCATACACTTGATATGTATGCACAGCTGCTCTAATGTGTGACTTGTATAGAAGTCTGATTATCCTTTGGAACTAAAAGGTTTTCTTTCTCTTTAACTGGAATTCTTTCTTCCCTGGATGAATGCTTTAGATCCTGTTTAGTCTTATTGTTTACTATATCCAGAACTATGTAGACACTCTGTGGGAAACAGAAAAACCATCCTTTCATAGTTGGCGGTTTTTTTTTTTTTTTAGAAAAAGTCTTGTTCTGTCGCCCAGGCTGGAGTGCAGTGGCTCAATCTCGGCTCACTGCAACCTCCACCTCCTAGTTCAAGCAATTCTCCTGCCTCAGCTTCCCAAGTAGCTGGGATTACAGGTGTGTGCCGCTGTGCCTGGCGAATTTTTGTATTTTTAGTAGAAACAGGGTTTCCCCATGTTGGCCAGGCTGGTCTTGAACTCCTGACCTCAGGTGATCCACCCACCTTGGCCTCCCAAAGTGCTGGGATTATAGGCCTGAGCCACTATATCTAGCCTCAGCAAACATTTTCTGTAAAAGGGACAGAGAATAAATACTGAAGGCCTTGCAGGCCATATAGTCCGTCTCATCACAGCTACTCAACTCTGTCATTGTAGTGTGAAAGCAACCACAGATAATACATCAATGAATGGGCAATAACATTTACAGAAACAAGAGGCAGGCCAGATTTTGCCAGTAGGCTGTAGTTTGTTGAGTCATCAGTCCCTATAACTTTTACTAACATGTATTGTATTAACATACTTATTTTTAAAAATCACATTTTAAAGCATCCACAGGGGAGGGGAGGGAGAAATTCTTCCTTATCCATGATTGCAAGATCACAGACTCCTCACTCTGCTGGAGGTATGATTAAAATGCTTAAATCCTTCCTTATCATAGAATAAATAGCCAGGAAAGCAGCTATTATAAATGGGCTTTTGAGGAGAAAGTTAGGTTTTGATTCTAGAAAGCACCTAAAAGGAAGAGAAAGTGATGGCTTTTACCTCGTAATTCAAGCTAAGCCACTGGCACCTGATTCGTGACATGAAGAGGTTCAAGGGGATAGCTTCTCAAATCTTTTTCAGTGGTAACAGTCTGTGACACTGTTTAACATGCAGTCATTATCGTTTTTCCCTTGCAGACATGCCAGTGACAGCCACACCTGTGTGAAGACAAAACACAATGAGATGATGGCCATTTTCTTTACTAGTGGAACAAGTGGATCTCCGAAAATGACTGGGCACACCCACAGCAGTTTCGGTTTAGGATTATCTGTAAATGGAAGGTATACTTCCACAGAAGTGCAGCTTGAAGTGTCAAAACTGCAAAAATGATGATTTATGTACTGGTCTTTTTGGGGGCGGGGGACAGAGTTTTGCTCTTGTTTCCCAGGCTGGAGTGCAATGGCACAATCTTACTTAGCTCACTGCAACCTCTGCCTCCCAGGTTCAAGCAATTCTCCTGCCTCAGCCTCCTGAATAGCTGGGATTACAGGCAGGTGCCACCATGCCTGGCTGATTTTTTGTATTTTTAGTAGAGATGGGGTTTCTCCATGTTGGTTAGTCTGGTCTCGAGCTTCCGATCTCAGGCGAGTTGCCCACCTTGGCCTCCCAAAGTCCTAGGATTACAGGCATGAGCCTGCACGCCTGGCTATGTACTGGTCTTTTATATTTGCTTTCCTTTGTATCAGGGATACTCTTTGTTTCTCCAGGTTCTGGCTAGATTTGACACCCTCAGACGTGATGTGGAATACCTCAGATACAGGCTGGGCAAAGTCTGCATGGAGTAGTGTTTTTTCTCCATGGATCCAAGGAGCATGTGTATTCACACACTATTTACCCCGTTTTGAGCCAACTTCTATTTTGCAAGTAAGCCAGAGCACAAGGAGGTCAATATTTAGAAGTGCATTAAGCAGTATGGCTGACAGAACTGATGAATAAAGCAACTTTCAGAGATCAGAGTAGACAATATAATTTAAGATATGTCACATCCAGAAAGTCAATAAGCCTGAAAAGATACAGTTGGCCCCCTCTATATCCACAGGTTGTGCATCCTCACATTCTGCCAGCCACATATTGAAAATATTTGGGGAGAAAAACAATAAACAAAATACCACAATTTAAAAAATACAAATAAAAAAATACCATGTAACAAATATTTACATAGCATTTGCATTGTTTTAGGCAGTATAAGTAATCTAGAGATGATTTAAAGTATACGGGAGGATATACATAGGTTATATGCAAATACCACACCATTTTATATAAGGGACTTAAGCATTCCTGGAACCAATCTTCCAGACACTAAGGAATGATTCTACAAGAAAAAGTAAGAATGCATTTACATTAACATAAACAAAGTTTAAATTGTGCTGTGCCAACCAAAGACATTTAAGCACTCATTAAAGTTGTAGTAAGACCAAGAGTTTGCTTTTTCTAAATTGCAGACACTCTCCAAGTACCCCATCACAGTCTTCTGTTCAGCACCAACTGCATACCGAATGCTTGTACAGAATGATATGACGAGGTAAGAAATGTTAGTAAATAGGCATTTAGTGGGGGGAGGGGAGAAGAGGAAGCTATAAAATCAAGGATCTTTCTGCCTGAAAACAGCTCCAAGCCAGTAGACACAGTATTTAGCAATCTCTCCTCTTCCTCCTTCTTCTTGCTTGTATTCTGTGAATGATAACTACTGTGTCCAGAACAGGCTCCCCTAAACAAGAAGAAAGTGAGGGTTCCACGACATCTATAGCTCTAAGCCCAGTGGTTATGGGTAACAAGATGATCAGTCTTTTGGATGATGGCTTTCTCTGAGCTGAGAAAGTAGAGAACTTATTTGTTTGGAAGTTTATCCCAGCAGATAGAAAAGATGATGCATATCTTTTATTCTATTGCTAATTCTATTTGAAAGGGTGCACTGGTAATCTGAAAAGAAAAACAACCACTGTTTTTCTTTGTTTTTTTCTTTATTTCAGTAGGTTTTGGGGGAACAGGTGATGTTTGGTTACATGCATAAGTTCTTCAGAGGTGATTTCTGAGATTTGTTGCACCCATCACCTGAGCAGTGTACACTGTCCCATTGTGTAGTCTTTTTTCCCTCACCCACCTCCTACCCTTTTCCCGGAGTCCCCAAAGTCCATTGTACCATTCTTATGCCTTTGCGTCCTCATAGCTCAGCTCCCAGCAGCCACTATTTTACTATATTCACAACACTCACTACTCCTGGTCTCCAGATGTAAGGGATTTTTTTCCCCCACATTGACTGATTCTCCATCATCAGCTGAGTGTCCTATGATTTAATTCAATCTCCCTGAAGACAGCATCATATCCTACAGGTTAATAAGTCGGTCCCACAAGACTGTTTCCCACTTCAAATGCTAATTACAAGTCCAGGCTGTCACCTCCGCATATGACCAAATGGCTATAAATCAGAGGTTCCCATGACCCTTCCTTGGGTTTAGTAATTTGCAATGATGGCTCACAGAATGCAGGAAAACACTTACTTACATTTTCTAGCTTATTATAAAAGATACAATAAGATTACAGATGAATAGCTATGCAGATGAAGAGGTACATAGGGTGAGATCTACAGGATCCCAAGTGCAGCAGCTTCCATCCCTGTGAAGTGGGGTGCACCACCTTTCTAGCACATGGAGCTCTCCAAACCTCATACTTCAGGGATTTGTTTGGAGGCTCCATTATGTAGGCATGATTGATTATTAAGTCAATCTCCAGGATATCTCCTTTCCCTGAAGGATGGGGGTGGGGTTGAAAGTGCCAAGCTTCTATTCCTGGCTTGGTCTTTCTGGTGACCAGCCCCCATACGGGAGCCCCGTAAGAGTTGCCTCATGAGAACAAAAGACGATTGTATCACCCAGGAAATTCCACAGAATTTAGGAGCTCTGTATCAGGAACCAGAATCAAAGACAAAATATGAGAACAAAAGATACTCCTAGCATACCCCTCGCTTGGGAAATTATAAAGGTTTTTGAAGCTCTGGGCCAAGAACTCAGGATGAAGACCCAATACAGGTTAGGTATCCCTTATCCAAAATGCTTGAGACCAGAAGTCTTTCGGATTTCAGATTGTTTTAGATTTTGGAGTCTTTGCATTATACTGGTTGGGCTGCCCTAGTCCAAAAATATAAAACCTAAAATCCTCCAATGAGCATTTCTTTGGAGCATCCTGTTGGTGCTGAAAAAGTTTCAGATTTTGGAGCACTTTGGATTTTGGATTTCCAGATTAAGGATACTCAACCTCTACATATTTCCTGTTATATCACGTATCACACGTAAATATATTTAAATTGATCTTATTTAATTTTTGAATAGGAAATAATTCACTATTCACCAGTTGAAAAAAATTCAACAGTTATATAAAAATACATAGTGAAAAGTCTTGCTTCAAACCTTGTCCCCAGTCACCCAGTTCTCTACCATGGAGGCAATCTGAGTTTCCAGTTTCTTGTCGATTCTCCCTGAAAATACACTAACTAATATGCATGTGTTCTCCCCTTCTCTATTTTTTTTTTTTTTGAGACAGAGTCTTGCTCTGTTGCCCACACTGTACAGTGGCACACACTTGGCTCATTGCAACCTCTGCCTCCTGTTCAAGTGATTTTCCTGCCTCAGTCTCCTGAGCATATAGTATTACAGGTGCGCACCACCATGCCCAGCTACTTTTTGTATTTTTCATAGAGATGGGGTTTCGCCAGGCTGATCTTGATGTTGGCCAGGCTGGTCTTAATTCCTGGCCTCAGGTGATCCGCCCACCTTGGCCTCCCAAAATCCTGGAATTACAGGTGTGAGCCACTGCACCCAGCCTCCCCTTCTCTATCATAAACATAAATGGCATCCAAAGATTCACACAGTTCTGCACCTTGCTTTTTTTCCCTAACAACACATTCTGGCACTGTGCTGTGCAATATGGTAGCCACTAACCACAGCTAGTTATTTAAATATAAATATTAATTAAATAAAACATTCAGTTTCTCAGTTATACTAGCCATGTTTCAAGTGTTCACATTCATATAGGGCTAGCATATACTGTAGTGGGTAGAGCAGATTACAGAGTACTTCTGTCATGACAGAAAGTTCTGTTGGACAGCACTGTCCAAGAGCTTCCTCATTCTTTTTTATGGCTGTATTGTATTCCATTGTATAAATATCTGACAATCAGTTTAACCAAACAATTGGTAAACTTTCATTGCTGATTTAAAGTGATTTTATGGTGCTCACTTCAGCAGCACATATATTAAAATTGGAATGATACAGAGGAGATTAGCATGGCCTCTGCTCAAGGATGACATACAAATTTGTGAAGCATTCCATGAAAACATAAAACATAAAATAAAATAAAATGTTATTATGAGGTACCTTTCCTAAGACTACAATGACATTCTTTGTAATAAATTATCTCCCCTGCCAAAAAAAGGGGGGAAGAAAAACTAGTATTTTAGGTGTTCTAATATCATTCTATGATATTAGAATGATTTATCTTTTTAATATAATTTTTATTTTTAATATTTGTGATTATATAGTAGATGTATATATGGGACAAAGTGGTTTATTTTGTGCTAGGGAGAGGAATTAAAAAGCAACTAAAACATTTCATATTGAAGTTCATAAGGAATAATCCTTAATTTCACTTCTCTCCATTTTTCCTCCAAAATCTAACTTACCTGTTTTCTGAGAAGCTATAAGTTTGAAAGCTTAAAGCACTGTGTGAGTGCTGGGGAACCAATTACTACTGATGTGACTGAACAATGGAGAAACAAGACAGGCCTGGATATTTATGAAGGATATGGACAGACTGAAACGGTACCTGACCTCACCGAAAAGACGTAGCTGGACTCCATTTAGTCAGATGAATAAAAACCAAAGTGTCCACTGTATCCTTATGATTATTTGAGGGACAGGAGTGGAGTGGTTAGAAAATGTTTAAAAACTTTGCTTGTAAGAACCTAGTTGCAAAAAAGCTCTGTAACAGATAGTTGCTTAAATAGCTACTCATTGACAAACACCACTGTTAATGGATCAGAGTGAGGGAATTACAATTTTTTTTTTTTATCAAATAATACTGGATTGGCTAGGCACGGTGGCTCACGCCTGTAATCACAGCACTTTGGGAGGCCGAGGCGGGTGAATCATGAGGTCAGGAGACCGAGACCATCCTGGCCAACATGGTGAAACCACGTCTCTACTAAAAATACAAAAATTAGCTGGGCATGGTGGTGCATGCCTGTAATCCCAGCTACTTAGGAGGCTGAGGCAGGAGAGTCACTTGAACCTGGGAGGCAGAGGTTGGAATGAGCCAAGATCACGCCACTGCACTCCAGCCTGGATGACAGGGCAAGACTCCATTTCAAAAAAAAAAAAAAAAAGAGTTAATACTGGATCTACTTAAAGAAAGAATTTGTCCCAGTGTGATAGGGAAGTATATTATTTAGGGCTGCCTCAAAATGGAAAATGCTGAGCTCCTAGCTACCTAAAATATTAAGAGTTTGCTGGATAACTCCTTAGCAACCATACTCTAAAAAGGAGTTTTTAAAGAGCTCATAGAAGTAAAGAATAAGAAATTCTAGAGGAAAAGAATGAAAATAAGAACAAAAATGAAATAAGAATCAAGAATAAAATAAGAAAAATGAACAAAAGTGATTCTTCTGTAGAAGAGGGAGGAGTAAGATAAAATAGATAAGGGAAAGGTTGAAAAAAACTTTTCACAATGTGGGTCTTTTTTTTTTTTTTTTTTTTTTTTTTTTGAGACAGAGTCTCACTCTGTCACCCAGGCTGGAGTGCAATGGTGCAATCTCGGCTCACTGTAATCTTCGCCTCCCAGGTTCAAGCAATTCTCTTGCCTTAGCCTCCTGAGTGGCTGGGATTACACGCGTGTGCTACCACGCCCAGCTAATTTTTGTATTTTTAGTAGAGACGGGGTTTCAACATTTTGGCCAGGCTGGTCTCAAACTCCTGACCCTGTGATCCACCTGCCTCGGCATCCCAAAGTGCTGGGATTACAGGCATGAGCCACCGTACCCGGTATGGGTCTTTATAATGCTTCAGTTTATGAGCCATGAGAAGGTATCACATGGTCAAAAATGAAAATATCAAAAATAAAATAAAAACAAATATTGAAAAATTAATTAAATAGAACAGCATAACAAGTATGCTAATATAAGTGCAAATGTTAATATACTCATGTTTTGATAAATATAGATATATTAGCAATTATTGTTGTAACTATATTATATATATATGTATGTATTTATATGTTGTTTATCACTACATTCCATAAGAGTATAGCATTTATTTTGAGCCTAGTTCATAGCTAAGTTTTCAATAATTAATTTGTTAAATGCATGGTAGATGAATAAATTTTAAGTTACTTGTAATGTTATCTTACTTTTTCTTCTTCTTTTTCTTAACTAGGTGCTAATCTGTGGAAATTTTAAGGGAATGAAAATTAAACCTGGCTCAATGGGAAAACCTTCTCCTGCTTTTGATGTTAAGGTTTGCACATCCTCTTCCAGGAGAATGTTTAACAACTCCATCTGAATACTACCTACCACTCGCCCCCATATAAACTCTCTTTGTTTTGTTGGTGATTCCATTTTACTTCTATGATACTTTAATTTTTATAAAAATGTGAAAATGAGTTAGAAATGTTAGCTAATTGGTTTCCATTATTTTGCAAATACCTATATTGTACCGTACAATTCTAAGCATTTAATAAATGGTAACCCATTAGGCTGGGTGCAGTGGCTCACGCCTGTAATCCCAACACTTTGAGAGGCTGAGGCAAGAGCATCACTTGAGCCCAGGAGTTCAAGACCAGCCTGGGCAACATAGTGAGACTTTGTCTCTACAGAAAAAAAAAACTAGCCAGGTGTGGTATGTGCCTGTGGTCCCAGTTATTCAGGAAGCTATGTTGGGAGGATTGCTTGAGCCTGGAAGCTTGGGGCTGCAGTGAGCCACGATCACACCACTGTATTCCAGCCTGGGCCACAGAGCAAGACGCTGTCTCTAAATAAATAAATATTAACCCATTGAATTTCCAGAAAAAAAAACAACCCTATGAGAAGCATACTAATATTAGAACCATCTTACAAACGTGGCACAAAGAGGAAAAAGAATTCACCAGAGGTCACACAGCTAATAGCTGATAGAGTTGGGATTCAATCCCCAGCAGTCTAGCTCCAATATCTGCACTCAACCACAACACAACACTGTCCCCGCAAGTGAGAGAGGTCAAGACCTTCTGGGAGGTCTACAAAGCCTAAAAAGCTTCAGTTTACAGTGGCTGCAGCACTTTCCCACTGCTTCCAGGCCTGCCTGGCCATTTCCTGGCTCTCAGTATCCATTGCCACTACTACCACTCGATGCCTAGGGGGCAGGCCACTTCCCCATCAGCATAGGGTTAAAATTGTTCTCAGATCAACCCAGCATCAAAGCTGGGTGTAGCCAAGGAAACTAACACTAACATAGACACCCCTCAACTGATGATGGGGTTATGTCCCAAAATAAAGTCATCGTAAGTTAAAAACATCCTATGTCACAAATGCATGGCTGACTGGGAGCTGTGACTCACTGTGGCTGCCCAGCATCTAGAGAGAAAGACAGTTTCAATTGAATGGTTATCTCTTTAACACCATTGTAAAGTTGGGAAATAGTAAGCTTAAACCATCTTTTTTTTTCTTTTTTGAGACAGTCTCACTCTGTCACCCAGGCTGGAGTGCAGTGGTGCAATCTCGGCTCACTGCAACCTCCACCGCCCGGGTTCAAGCGATTCTCCTACCTCAGCCTCCCGAGTAGCTGGGATTACAGGCACGCACCACCAAGCCCAGCTAAAGTTCAAACCATCTTAATTCAGAGACTCATCTGTACATTAAAAGAAAGCAAAAGTAGCAAAAATATGGACGAATTAACAGAGTAGAGCTCTTAGATTAATGTTTCCTAAGCTTATTTCATTATAAACATCATATGGATATTTGTTAAAAATACTAATTCTCAGGCCCCTGGAGAGATTGATTCAATAGATTTGGAGTGGGATTCTGAAAGCTGAAATCCTGTAATTTTAACAAGCACCTCCAGGTAGTTTTTAGGATTAACTAAGTTTGAGTTTAGATGAGCTTGATTGTTGTTGTAACTGTTTATAGAATAAACCAGTTCCTGGATCCTTTCTTTCACTTTAACCTTGCTGTGGGAAGCTTGTCTCAAAATAGGATAGCCTAGTGCTTCAACTGTATCTCTGCTATTCACTAGCGGAGTGTCTGTGGATAAGCTGTTAAAGCTCTCTAAGCTCCAGTTTCCTGATATGTATTTGGGACTAGGGTGACCAACCTGTCTATCTGCCTGGGACTAATCTGGTTTTAGTACTTAGGGCAATACATCATGAAGAACTCTCCCAGCCCTCACCACTTCAGTCCCCAGATGGTTGGTAATCTGAATAATAATAGAACTGATTTCATAGGTTTCTTGTGGTGATTAAATGAGATAATATGTTTAAAGAGCATATCAGAGTGCTTAGCACATAATAAAGGTCCAAAAAATGGGTGCCGTTATTTACCTCTCCCTCACATTCCTCTTTGAAAAACTTCTGTAAGAAAAAATGGTAGGAGAGCCATAGCTGCATTCCATAAACAGGCTTAACAACAGTTTGTTGGTAACAGGCTACTTTAGGTTGAAGAAAGAAATATTGATAATTAAGCACCCTCATGTCTGTATTACAGGGAAGTTGATATGTAACACACCTATGTTCTTTTTCTTCCTCCCTTAATAGCAATTCCCAACATGCATAGCTAGCAGGGTCCTGCAGGCACAGCTGTACCCACAATGATTCCAACTGCAAGGTACCCCCACCTGTTCCCCTTTAATTTGAACCCAGTGGTTTTCTCAAGCAGCTATCTTTGAATGCGATTATGATGAGGCTGAGAGGAAAACAGTACTCTGCCTGCATCCTCAATCATTTTTAACTCTTTTCCAAGGGCTATTATTACTGGGCTTCTTGTTCCTCAGCTAACAGCATCTGCAGTAACATTCTGGCATCTGGGAATATGCTCCAATCAGGTGAATATCAGATTTCTACAACTTCAAAGCCCAAACTTTATAATCTTTTTTGTTTGCTTTTAAATTTAAAAACACATAATTTTCATGTTTAAACATTTTAACACCCTTTGAACAATGAGGAACATGATTCTCCCCAAAGACAGAAGATTTTATCTATATTCCCATCTATTAAAATCTGTGATAAATAACTGGAACTTTTAAAATACTTTCTTTCCATCAATAATTCCTTCATATCTGGAACCACATATTTCTTTAGATAACTGGGTGGGAATTTATATTTTTTTATTTGCAAGAGCTTAAAGGGAAGTTTTTACTCCTAGAATTCCTTTCCCATTGAAGTTTCTCATTCAGCCCCTTTCCTTTTGGAAAGTGCTAGATAAGTATTACACTTATTCTCCATGCAGGCCACACCTCAGATATAAAAGCAGAATTCTGATACTTAGAAACAGCTAAAAGTAATTTAGAGCAAAATCTGGTATAAAATCAGCAATCAACTTGAGAAATGCTAATCTGATTTTTTTAAAAATTAGATTAAACTCCTTAGAGGCATTGCACAGAGGAGTGTAATGATTAAAAGCCTGTGATCTAGAGTGTGAGTGCTGAGATTTCGATTCCAGCTCAGTCATGCATAGTGTTACATAAACTCTCTACACCTCAGTTTCTTCATGTGTAAAATGGGCATAAAAGTTCTAACCATATAGGGCTACAGTACTTAAAGCTTTAGCATTTAATATGTAGCATGCAATAAGTACTTAATAAATGCTAGCTACTATTAGGTACTTCAAGGAATGATGAGGATTGGAGAGGGAAAGAGAGCAAGGCTGTGGCTTACTCACCATTGTCAACCAAAGAACATTTCCCTTTTCCTGTTTAGACTGGGCTTCTGAGGTAAGGTTCTGTAGGTTCCGCGGCTAAACAAAGTTTGAAAACCAATAATGAAGTTATTTATTTATTGAGAGGAAAAGATAATCAAGAGCTATTGCTAAATGATAAAAGCATGTTGGCAAACTTGCGTATTATAAAGGAATCCTATTTTTCTTTTTCTTTTTCTTTTTTTTTTTTGAGATAGAGTTTCACTTGTTGCCCAGGCTGGGGTAGAATGGTATGATCTTGGCTCACTGCAACCTCCCCCTCCCAGGTTTAAGCGATTCTCCTGCCTCAACCTCCCAAGTACTGGGATTATAGGCGCCCACCACCATACCTGGCTAATTTTTATATTTTTAGTAGAAATGGGATTTCACCATGTTAGCCAGGCTGGTCTCGAACTCCTGACCTCAGGTGATCTGCCTGCCTTAGTCTACCAAAGTGTTGAGATTACAGGCATGAGCCACTCTGCCCAGCCAGCAATCCTATTTTTCTACTTGTCTATATCGTCTCAAAGGATATTACCAAAATGTGATTATTACTGGATGGTAACATTTAAAAAAATTTTTATCCTTCTTTCACATTTTGGTAACCTGTACTTAATATTTTATGAAATAAGAATTTAAATAAATATATTTATCTTAGAAATTTAAAGTATATTTAAAAATTTCGGGGGGGGGGGGCAGGTACAGTGGCTTATGCCTATAATCCCAGTACTTTGGGAGGCCAACGCTGGAGGATCACTTGAAGCCGGGAACCAGCCTGGGCAACATAACGAGACCCTTGTCTCTACAAAAAATCAAAATAAACATTAGCTGAGCCTAATGGCATGTGTTTGTAGCTTCAGCTGCTTGCGAAGCTGAGGTGGGAGGATTGCTTGAGGCCAGGAGTTCGACGCTGCAGTGATCTATGAGCTATGATTGCACCACTGCACTCTACTCTGGGTGACAAAGTGAGACCTTGTCTTACACACAAAAAAATTTTAAGTCTTCATTTTTAAATGGCAAAAAACAAAACATGCAAAGTTAATATTTAAGCTGTGACATTAAACAAAAACTTCCTTAAATAAATTGTGCTATTTTATCCTAGATTGTAGATGGAAATGGCAATGTTCTACCTCCTGGACAAGAAGGGGATATTGGCATTCAAGTTCTACCTAACCGACCATTTGGCCTTTTTACTCATTATGTAGTAAGTGACTTAGTAAATAATCTCTTATTTTCTATTTATTTCTCAAGTTCTTGGTAACTTTCCTGGTTAGTCACAAAATATACCTAGGATGGGTACTTGGCCCTTTCTTGAGAGATTGCTTGTCCTAAATTGTAATCCCAAAGACAAGAAATTGAAGAAATACCCAAATTCCTGCTGAAGAAAAGCAGGTTGTCCCCTGAGGCTAGATCACTGTTTCAGGTCCATGAAGGCAAAAGGAAGGGACCCTAGAAAGAAAAAAGCCCCTTAACATCCCAGGAGCCTCTCAATTATCAAACAAAACCCACTCATTTTCCTGAAATCTAATTAGTGCTCTCTCTTCTTGGGAAGAGTGAGAGGGACAGGGAATGAAAGGGTGGTGGGATTAAGCAAATGACTTTCACTAGAGGGATTCTAACCTCCTTATAGTTTGCAAGAATATTTTCATCTCTAATCACAGTACACAAATTAGAGCAAAGTCTTATCATATAAGGTCCAGATGCTACTTGCCAGTGTCTTTTATATAATGAAACAGTATCTTGTTCATTTCTTTTGTGTCAGATTTGTAGAACCACTTCTGTTATTGTGTAAAACGAAACAAAACACAAAACCCAAATCAAACCTGTCTGCTCTTTATTAGGTGTCAGTGCTTTCTTTTAACTCTGTGTATTTACATCTCTCTTTTCCCACCAGCATTATATTATTAATCAGTTAGCAAAAGACTTAACTTTAGTTTACTCCTCTGAGCTCTGAGCTTCTGCAATATTTATCTATCTAAGAAAATTCTTAAGATGGAAACATGTCTAATCTTTGTAGTTTACCTTTCTTCTCTCGGGCTAGCTCCATGCTGGGATTTCATCCTTATTTTCACACTCTGGCTCTTCCTAACTCTAATGCTTCTCAAAGGAGTCAAACTTTTCTGCTTTCTTGAACATTTAAAAATCCAACTGAGGGCTGGTCACGATGGCTTACGCCTATAACTCAGCACTTTGGGAGGCTGAGATCACTTGAGGTAAGGAGTTGACACCAGCCTGGCCAATATGGTAAAATCCCAGCTCTACCAAAAAATACAAAAATTAGCTGAGTGTGGTGGTGCAAGCCTGTAGTCACAGCTACTTGGAAGGCTGAGATGGGAGAATCGCTTGAACCTTGGAAGCAGAGGTTGCAGTGAGCCAAGATTGTGCTACTGCACTCCAGCCTGGGTGACAGAGTGAGACTCTGTCTCGAAAAAAAAAAAAAGCCAATTGACCAGAAGGGTTAGATTCACCACATTAACAAAATGCTATTTGTTTTGCAGGATAATCCTTCAAAAACAGCTTCAACTCTACGAGGCAATTTCTATATTACTGGGGACAAAGGGTATATGGATGAAGACGGATATTTTTGGTTTGTTGCAAGATCAGATGATATCATATTATCCTCTGGGTAATTTTCTTTTCCATATGTGCACATGTCTGTGTTAACTGATCATTGTGTTCCAGAGTGAACCTGCCACTCACCTATATGTATTAATCCCATATGCTTTTCTAGTTATCGAATTGGACCATTTGAGGTAGAAAGTGCCCTGAATGAACACCCTTCAGTTGCAGAGTCAGCTGTTGTCAGTAGCCCAGACCCCATCAGAGGAGAGGTAAAAGAACTGATTCATCTCAACTTTACAATTTGTTGGCAGTTTAACACAAACTTACAAACAGTAGCTTAGTGAAACAGAATTAACCAAATGATTCATTCACTAAATAGGCAAGTCAGATAGAAATGTGCTAGTCAGAAAGAACTGCTACAAAATAAGATTGAATTATGAGTTGTAGCTCTGATCCTAACCAAAAACAAAAATAATAATAAGACTGAAAAGATGTACTAGAAAGAATTTAAATTCTTTCCATGGTGGACTAGGGCAAAGATGGTGTGAATGCCAGTAACCAAGGCTCACATGAGGATGGGGTGACATAAGTCTGCTGGATAGGATCAAGTTTTTACACAGAAGGTCTGGAAACCAACAAGGTCCCTGGTGTAGTGGAGGAGAATGGGTGTCATATATCAGGAATGAGAACAAGGTCAGAGCCTGGAACTGAGGTAACCATAGCAGGCTGGGTAGGTAAATAAGTAGAGGTTTCAGGAAATAAGCTCTCAATAACACAGCAGTCCTGAAAGCCCATTCCTATTGGGGCTGACCACACAGTATTTTGGCTTAAAGGTACCATGCCAGGTAGCCTCTGTGTTTTGCCTGTGTGTCTACAGCATGTCCCTAGGGTTTCTCTAGATGAGTTACCAGTTCCCACAATATTTCTTCAATCTGTATCCCTTCTAACACTGAACCCAAGTTTTGAAGATGACATTGATGTTAATACAAATCCAGAACTTTCTGTACCATGTATTCAAGCTTCTTATCTCAAATCCTAGGTATAGGGCTGCAAGCACAGGGCACAGGGCAGAATTAGAAGTAATCTCAGGGGATGAAATAGGTCCTCAAGTTTAAGGCAGGCCAGGCACAGTGGCTCACACCTGTAATCCCAGCAATTTGGGAGGCTGAGATGGGTGGATCACCTGAGGTCAGGAGTTTGAGACCAGCCTGGTCAACATGGTGAAACCCTGTCTCCACTAAAAATACAAAAATTAGCAGGGCATGGTGGCACACACCTGTAATCTCAGCTATTTGGGAGGCTGAGGCAGGAGAATCACTTGGACCCAGGAGGGGGAGGTTGCAGTGAACCACTTGCATTCCAGCCTGGGCACCAGAATCAGACTCCATCTCAAAAATAAAATAGAATTAAATTTAAATGTTTAAGGCAAAAATGGGAGATATGCATGTAACAGTGGAATGAGGGTGTATCTCCCCCCAGGACGGACTCCCTTAACTGATCTTTGATGCCAGAAGATACCCTGTAAGTCCTGCTGGTTGGCCCAAGGTTGTTCTGGATATTGCCCAGTGGCTGGGAATTGACAGTTTGTCAAGTTGCTAGGATGAAAGTCCCTATTTACTATGAAAGGGTATACTTCAGGCAGTGGAGGGCAGGGAAAACAGTCAGTGATTATTGGCTTGTCTCTTTGCTCTGACCACCACTGGCAAGGTTTCGCAAGTCTCAGCTCTTCCTGTACCTCACTCTTACCATCAGTCATCATCAGTTTTACTCACCTAGACAGGTGCTTACTTGGAATAGGATGGTAGCTGAGTCTTTGGGAACAGGGTTGGCTTGGCAGCCACCTGATATTCTAGAGTACAATATAGAAAAGATCTATAAGTAGGTTGTGGTCCCCTCACAGCTCTGGGATCTTGGCGTAGGGCTTGGATTAGTCAGAGTGAGGGCGAGAATGTAACCAGTTTCTCAACACTGGTGGGCTGCAGGATTCCCTGGTAGATGTGAGTGGGTGTCTCAAACGAGGTGTCCATGAACAAAATGGCCACATGCTCCATGCCACCAGCGGTTGCTCCCTTTCTGCTGGCAGGGCTGTTCTACCTGGGTTAGGTCCTTCTCCAGGCTGGGTCCTGCCAGGCCTTTAATTGGGTAGCAAGTTCCAGAATTTATTAAAAAGAATATTTAGATTTGAAATACAATTTTAACATTGGAATGTGAAATAAACACTTAGAAATATTTGCCTAGATCACTAGGTTCTTACATTTTTTGGATCACATACCTCTTTGAGAATTTGAAGAAAACCACAGGCCACTGATGGACTTATGCACTGATAGAAATGTTCTGTATTTGCACCATCCAATACAACAGCTGTGCATGGCTATCAGTCACTTGAAATGTGGCTAGTGTGACTGAGAAAATTTAATCTTATTTAATTCATTTAAATTGAAATAGCCACATGTGGCTAGTGGCTATCATATTGAATGGCACACCCACTTTTCTCAGAAAAATACAAGATTTCGCATAGAATTTCAGAGAAATCTGAAGCCCACTTATGGATTTGGGGTTAAAAAATAAAACCCAAACTTCTTGCAATTCTATGACTACAACTAAGAGCTAATGTTTTTGATGACATACTATGTGCCAGACATTATACATCGATGCTAATTATTTAATCATCAGAATCTCTTTTATAGAGAAAGAAACTGAGGCACAAAGATTACCTAACTTGTCCAACATTACCTAACAAACTGTGACTTGAACCCAGCTGTTCTGACTTCAGAGTTCATACTTTTACTCATGTTAGGTTGTTCCTTGTTAATTTAACATTATCTGTAGTCATTTAAAAAGATAAAGGAGACTTCATCCAAGGTGTAGAAGTCAATATGTGAACCAGTATTGCAAAGTTTTAACAATAATTTGCCTTTGAATGACTTATAACAAGCATAATTTTTTAATTTGCAAAAATGTTGCTAATGCAGCAGAACCAGCATAACTACAAATACATTTTATAAAATGTCAAGAAATGAATAGAACAAAACTATATCCATAGACACACATACACACAAGGGTTCACAACTGCCCTATGGCACATGCAAATTAAAAATGTTAAAGGGTTTTCTTTTTTTCTTAGAGACAAAGTCTCACTATGTTGCCCAGGCTCCTCTCAAACTCCTGGGCTCAAGCAATCCTCCTGCCTTGGCCTCCCAAATGTTGGGATTACAGGCATGAGCCACTGCACCCCACAAGGGTTTCGGGTAAAGACAAAAATGGGTAACAGCTCATAAAATGTAAAATTACCCACTGGTGAAGTTTTCAATATGTGAAAAAATTATAACTTGAAGTCTTTGTTTCTCACCAATAGCTGTTCTGAGTAATTTGTTGTTTCAAATAATTCATTTTCTTTCTTTTTTTTTTTAAAGATGAGGTTTCACCATATTGATCAGGCTGGTCTTGAACTCCTGACCTCAGGTGATCCACCCGCCTTAGCCTCCCAAAGTGTTAGATCAAAGTGGATACGAAATGTTGTCAGCTTATCTTTAAGCTAGACAAATGAATCCTTGAGTTTATTAAGATTTCAGGCACTTAACTGCAGGATATTTAATCATAAAAAAGTTTCAGAGGACTCTCCTGGAACTGTGCCTGCAGGAACCATCATTCCACAGCCAGCTCTGGGCTGGTAATCTGGCTTTGGAGGTACATACTAGTTGGTGCACCTAGACTCATGCCTATAGGGAAGGCAGTAAATGGCAGTCCTGGCAGTGCCCTAGGAGAGAAAATGATAGCACTCCAAATTTACTTTTAAAAGGGCATCTGAGGGATGGCCTATCTTTGTCTTCTCCATTAAAGGTCCAAAAAACTAGGCAGGGTTTTCCAAAACATTTCTAGGAAGGATAAACTTTGGAGAAGAGGATTTGTAAGCATAAAGTAATGTCTTTCTGGTCTTCTGCCAGTTAAAGGCCACCACAATTTCCACTCTTATTCTTCAGGGCCATGGAAATGGATCAGAGCAATAGCAAAGTGGCTGTTGGAATCTTCACAGCCTTGTGTAAAGACTGCATGTTCTCTGTGAACTGTTCCCTTCAACAAAGACATGGCAAACTCAGGGTGACTACTGATTATAGGTAGCCCCCATGCTGAGGGCTAGGCTAGACCAGGCTGGGTCACCACACAGGTCCCAGAAGCTCTCCTGTGTTAGGTACAGACCAGGAAGTGTGTGAGTCAACTGGCTGGCTTAAGAACACAAAGTTGGGATCAAACTTTATTAAAACACTCTGGCCAACCCCACCAGGCACATAGATTCTCAGTTAGAGCAAGCAAATAAGACTTACTAAAACATACAAATGCGTAACTCATTTTCCTGTTGTTTCAAATACTTATTTTAGGTAGTAAAGGCTTTTATTGTTCTGAACCCTGATTACAAGTCACATGATCAAGAACAACTAATAAAGGAGATTCAGGAGCATGTTAAAAAAACTACGGCACCTTACAAATATCCCAGAAAGGTAGGTATCCTAATTATGATGAGTATTTGCTCAGTGTTACGGAAAATTTCAACTGTTTATTTTTACCTCTTAATGACTATTTTCTTCACTCATGTTATATACCACATGTCCCAAACTGAACTGATGACATGTGGGTGAGAATCAGAATCTTTGAGGTAAAAATGAAACCCTAAACCTATTTTGTTTGGTCCTTTGGACTTGCAGTAAATACTTAATACCAAGACAAATTTCCTCAATAATACCCTTTTCCTTTCTTTGGTTGTTATCCAAAACCCATTCCAATGGGTATTCTAATTCTTTCACCTAGAATTCATAATTGAACTGCTATATAATTGGCTTTATGTAAAGACAAAAATTTCCAGGCTAATTTTCTTCCCCTTGATGCCAACAGGTAGAATTTATTCAAGAGCTGCCAAAGACTATCAGTGGGAAGACAAAAAGAAATGAACTGAGGAAGAAAGAATGGAAAACAATTTAAATGTGTTTCATTAACTACCATATCGATAAAACAAACACATTATCTGCCAATCTCTAGAAACCACAAGATGATGGAGAGGTGATAAAAACTGTGGTATTATGCTCAGAAACTGTTAATTTAAAATATCTTGTAGTTATGATATCAGAAGCTAAATTTTGAAATAAAATGTTTGGTAAATTCCTCTGCAATACTGTCAATGTTCCTATCATTTCTTAATATAAAAAGAATGTTGTCAATTATTAATTTTTAAATGTATAGTATAGAAGCAATTTCTGAACCAAATCTCTGCTACATAGGTTTTCAAACTTTAGTTGACTAATTCTTCTGATATGTTGATATACAAATCAGAATCAATGTTCGAGCTGTGAAATAAAACTAAAGAACTTATAAAAGTTTTTAGAAAAATACAAAATACCAGTTAGATTATGATAATTCTCAAAATATATGTATCTAACTAAAAATAGACTAGGGATTTTTATTAGTCACATTTTTGTGCACGTAATTTAAAAATAGTTTAAGACTTGCTTCAAGGTCTAACTACAAAAGAAGGATCATATACTATTGTTGCTTATTATATGTAATCTAATAAATACTATTAACAAAAGATTATATTTATGGTTCCTGAAGAAAGTATGATGAATTCAGTAAACATTAATATATAAAATAGTGTAAGATGTTATCAGAATACTCATGTTTGGAAATTCAAAGAACAATTAGAATTCATACATGAAAGATAATCAATTCCTCATTGAAGGCCTGAGTCTCAAGGAATTATTGTTGGAAATACTTAAATTTCGGTCACAAAGAGTGCTTTTTTCTGGAGAAGTAAAAGTGAGTCCCCCTGTGGAATGAAATGAAACTACACTGTTGGCTCTTGCCTTTTGAAGTGTTTGTTCCCATTCGAAATAACCACAACATTTTCTGTTTTCTTGATATTTCCCAATAGGGCAACAATAAAAGACTTTTCCATGGTTCGGTCCATTATTAGAAACAACAAGTCTCCTAGACCTCCGCCCACACTTGCATAAGGGAGGTGTCATTTTCCCACTTTTCCAAGGCTCTTGCAGGTTAACTATAGAAGTTAATACAGATGGGAAAAGCTTCCGGGAAGAACTTCTTACTGGGGAGCAATCAGATGGCTTTTCTTCATGAATAGTGAAGGGTTGTTTTTTTGCTGGTGGGAAAGCTTGAGGACTGCATGGATTTCTTTTGGTACCACCTGAAAGAAGAGGATGTTTCCCCAAAACTAAAGGATGAGACATATTGGCATTAACTTTGTTGCAGGTACTTGATTTGTGTTCAGGTAACTTAAAGGCAGAAACATCTGAAACTGGATCTTTGGCTTCTTTTACATTATAAATAATAGTGTGTGGACTCTTGTATACAATAGACTTAGAAGTCTCAGATTTTTGAAGAGTTTCTTCTATGTCTCCAAAGTTTTCACGACTTGGCATTTCTGATTCTTTCAGAACCATTAATCTTTCTCCAGAATTAAATGAAATCTCTAAGTCTGGATCACTAATGGGAACGGTACAATCTATGTTTTTCTCAGGCTGAGATGCTGGCAGTAAAACCATATCCTCCCAATCAGCCAACATAGGTAAACAGTCAAGGGTAGAGCTCATTTCCATATCAGAAACATGATTAACAGTTGGAATCGTGGTAGAAACAAGTACCAATTCTGAACCAACTGTTGAAGACTCACATTTGGTATTAAATGCAAGATGTTCATTTTTTCCTTGCTTTTGCATATAGATAGGTGAATTCAAGGTAGGAGACTGCAAATGCCCCAGAGAAGTAGAGGACTTAGAATTAATAATAGATAAGCAACTTTTGACATTGTGAAGACTTGTTTTTATATTGTTCTTTACTTGTAATTGATCCTTCTGTGCCTTTATAGGAAAATTTGCACAAACTGACTTCATTTGAACTTTTACATGAGAATTTATTGTATTTTTAGGCTCATTATATATGCTAGGACCCTGGATGCTGTTACAGGCAGACATTTCTTCAACTTGATTTGTATTCAAATTTCTGGCCAGAATGCTGGAATTCTTCTTAGTGGGAACCTATGATTTCACAGACAAATCCAACAGTTTTAGAAACTGCATTCATAATTTCTTCAGTATATAGTTTATGATAAAAAAGAGAAATGTCATTGATTTATAAATGACTACACACATTAAATCTACATTTTCAAAGAACATATGCCTGTTTATGAAGTTTGAGATGACAGAATAAAGAGGCAAGATGCCACTAACCTTGTTCAATGACCTTGTAATTTTCATTAGACAGCCATCCTTGATCATTTTCCAAGCAAGAAGGGCAGTATTCCGAGAATCGTCTAACCCTGAGGATACAGATGTCAAACACTGAATTTAGTGGTACTAGTACTATTTCCTTAGTACTAAAAAAAACAGCCAAAAACAACCACCACCACCTCCCACCACTTGTATAGAAATTGTAGATTTTTTTTTGAGACGAAGTCTCGCTCTGTTGCCCAGGCTGGAATGCAATGGCACAATCTTGGCTCACTGCAACCTTGGCCTCCTGGGTTCAAGTGATTCTCCTACCTCAGCCTCCTGAGTAGCTGGGACTGTTACAGAAATGCAACACTATACTTGGCTAATTTTTGTATTTTTAGTAGAGACGGCTAAATTTTGTATTTTAGTTTCACCATGTTAGCCAGGCTGGTCTCGAACTCCTGACCTCGTGATCTGCACACCTCGACCTCCCAAAGTGCTGGGATTACAGACGTAAGCCACTGCACTCGGCCAGGTCTTATGACCATCTACTAATTTTAATCACAATAAAGGAAGGCTGCGGCAGCATTACCAATGAAAGACAAGCTCGTTCACATTTATAGAGGAGGATGTGAAAATGTATTAGCTCCCCAAAATGTGGCCAACATTCTGTAGGAACCAGGATTTGTGAATAATCTAATAGTCTTGTTCAGTTTTTTCACTAATCCATTCTATTATTTGGGCACTTGTTTAATCTCCATTTGATTTCGCTAATTCTTTTCATTCTTTTTAGCAACTAGAAAGCTACTAGATGGCAGTGTATCCTACAATAGTTTATGAAAGTGGTAATTTGAAAGTCTTAAAACAATGTGAATTGTTTAGATTAGGAGCTTTTTTTAAAGGCTGAAGATATCCCTTGACATTACCAAAAAATGAAATTCATATTAAATATTTTTTGAAAATCAAAGAACTTACATAAGTTTTAATTTATACCAACCAGAATGTTCTCGTCCTGAGAATTCTATTCCTACTTCCTGCAAGGCACCACTTAGTCCTTTTGGTTTTCTCCTATAGAAAAGCTAATCAAGTAAAATAAGATATATCTTTTAAAAAGATTATTATTTTAAAGGCTATGTATTAACCACTTTTCATAATTTTTAGTTCTATTAGATTTAAAATGTGCTTATTTTGTGTATATTGTTTTTAAATACTTTAAGAAATGCATTTATGTGACCATTCCAAAAGAAATTATCTTATTTGTAGAAACCCATGCCCATATGTAGGATAAAAGTTAATCATTTGTCAACAGAAGAAAAGTAACCATGTCCCCATTTTTTACCATTACCTTGTAAGTTGCTCTGAGATCAATCCAAGAGTTTAAAAACACAGGTTTAAACAGCTGCTTTCTTTTACACTCATATTCCAGGCAAACCCCCAAGTCCCAGTCTGCATTAGATACATTAAAATAGAACGAAGTCAATGATGCCAGCATTTTTAACTTATGGTGACACCATTTACAAATAGAATGCTAGAAGATGATATAAAATTAAACAGTAAGATTTCATTGCTCTGCTAATATCTAAAAATTATATAACTTACTATTAAGAAGTTAGGTTGATGATTAAATTTCAAAATGATTTCTTAAACACCCAGTAAAACCCTATTTCAGAAAGAAGAGCAAGTTGTTAAATTACAAGGGCTATATTTTCTATATTCTAGGAAAATATTAATGTCATTGAAAAACCAAACATTTTGTAGTAACTGGAAACCAAATATGACTATCAATGCTATGCTATCAATGACACAGTATTGCTATCAGGACTATTAACAGCTATGCTCCACCACAGTCATACAAAAAAGCTACTTTCAATGGCTCATTTTTTTTTCTTTTAAGTGTCAAAGCATAAAAGCAATGGATGTTGACCTGATGAAGACTCTGTAGAAAATAGCATGATAAGAGTTTTCACTAAATCATCTTTGCTTAATTCATAAGAAAATAGTGGAACTCTAGAAATTTTTTTTTTTTTTTTAGGGAGGAAGGGAGGAAGGCAGGAAGGGAGGAAGGCAGGAAGGGAGGAAAGGAGGAAGGGAGGGAGGGAGGGAGGGAGGGAGGGAAGGAAGGGAAGGAAGGAAATCAGGCAGTGAGAGAGACATTGGAAAGAAAAAAAGGAGTGAAGGAGAGGAAGAAAAAGAAAGAGAGAATGGAAATGTTGCTTTATTCTAAAAAAAATGGGTATTATTAATAATGGCCAATCAATATTTCATTTAAACCTATGAGTAGGTGTATGTGGTATTGACAAGAATGTATATTTTGTGTATTTAAAGTGGAGAGCTCTGTAAATATTTATTAAGTTTACTTGTTCCGGATCTGAGTTCAAGTCCTGGATATCCTTATTAATTTTCTGTCTCATTGAGTCTAAGTCTCTATGTATCTGGGTGTTAGGATTGTTAGCTCTTATTGTTGCATTGATCCTTTTACCACTATATCTTTGTTGCTTTAAAATCTATCTTATCAGATACGAGAATTGCAACTCCTGCTTTTTATTTATTTATTATTTATTTTTGCTCTCCATTTGGTTGGTAAATCTTTCTCCATCCTTTTGTTTTGAGTCTTTGTGTATCCTTGCACGTGAAATGGGTCTGGATGTAGCATACCATTGGGTTTTGGCTGTATCTTTTGATTGGGGGATTTAGTCGATTTAAATTTAGGATTACTGCCATTTGATGTTAACTGGCTGTTTTATCCATTCGTTGATGTAAATTCTTCTTTATGTTGATGCGCTTTACTTTTTGGTATATTTTTAGAAAGGCTAATACTGGTTGTTTCTTTCTGTGTGTAATGCTTCTTTCAGAAGCTCTTGTAAAGTAGGCCTGGTGGTAATAAAATCTCTGAGTACTTGCTTGTTCATAAAAGATTTTATTTTTCCTTCAGTTGTGAAGCTTAGTTTGGCTGGATATGAAATTCTGGGCTGAAAGTTCTGTTCTTTAAGGATGTTGAATATTAGCCCCCACTCTTTTCTGGCTTGTAGAGTTTCTGCTGAGAGATCTGCTATAAGTCTGATAGGCTTCCCTTTGTGGGTAACCTGACCTTTCTCTCTGGCTGCCCTTAGTATTTTCTCCTTTGTTTCAACCCTGGTGAATCTAACGACTATGTGCCTTGGGGTTGCTCTTCTTGAGGAATATCTTTGTGATGTTCTCTGTATTACCTGGGGTTGAATATTGTCCTGCTTTGCTAGTTTAGGAATATTTTCCAGCTTGGATTCATTCTCTCTGTTGCATTCAGGTACACCTATCAAACGTAAATTTGGTCTTTTCGCATAGTCCCACATTTCTTGGAGACTTTGCTCATTGCTTTTTATCCTTTTTTCTCTAATCTTGTCTTCTCATTTTATTTCATTAAGTTGGACTTCGACCTCTGATATCCCTTCTTCTGCTTGAACAATTCGAGTGTTTAAACCTGTGCATACTTCTCAGAGTTCCTGTATTGTATTCTTCAGTTCCATTAATTCACTTATATTCCTCTCTAAGTTGTCTATTCTCATTAGGATTTCGTCAAACCTTTTTTCAAAGTTCTTAGTTTCTTTACATTGGGCTACAACATGTTCTTTTAATTCACAGAAGTTTCTTATTATCCATCTTCTGAAGCCTGATTCTGTTAATGGGATGTGCTCGTTCTCCATCAAGCCTTGTTCCCTTGTTGATGAGGAACTGTGATCCTCTTTAGAGGGAGAAGCATTCTGATTTTGAGTATTCTCAGCCTTTTTACGCTGGTCTCTTCCCGTCATTGTAAATTTATCCACCTGTCATCTTTGTAATTACCAACTTTCAAATTAGGTCTCTGAGTGGACGTCCAAGTTGTTCATTCCCAGGGCCAAAATATGAGCAACCCACTGCGCCGGCCAAAACAGTGGTGTTAAGACTGACGGTGCTTTTCTGCCCAGGAATCTCCAGTCTGGCTTCCTTCTTGAGTCCGAAATAGGCGACTCTGCCTTCCTGGAGCTCCAAACGTCGGTCAGAAGGGGAACCAGTCCTGTTTACTCTGCACCAAGAGCTGCTGCGCCAAGGTGCCGGCAAAACCGCTGCGCCGGCCACAAGAGTCACACTGGTGACCCATGCAGCTCCTCCACTGGGAATCTTGTGCTCCATGAGCGACAAAAATTTGTCTGAAAGTGTGGCGTCCTCTCGTTCTCTGCGCTTCCACTGGGAGCTGCAATCCCGAGATGTTAGCAATCAGCCATCTTGGATCGTTCTCTCGAAATATTTTTTTTTTAAGCTCAGACTTAAAATTTTAAGGAATTTCAAAAGGTTAACTTGAAAGATATGTATGAATTTACCTTTCTTAGCTAACATCTGCTAGGCATTTAAATTTTTTTTCCTAGCCCAGGAGATTAACAAATATAAAATAGGTTAGCAAGTATAAAACTAGAAATAAAGAATTACATGGTGTTAATGCTACCCATTTGTGATATTTTTTACCTGACCAAGTAACAAATGCACATAAGTTTACTTCAGAAGTAGAAGGCTCTGAAACCCCAGCAGCAAAAATAATGTTCTTCTGTTGCTGAATCTTATGAATCCATTTACAGAACTGAGATAAGCAAATCTTCAGAGGGACTCCTTCATCAACTTGAGCCTGAGTAGAGTCAAAAAATCTGAATTCAATGATCAAAGTCCATGATTATTTAGCATATTTTATAACTGTGGAGAAAGATTAATGGTTTTAAAAGAATCAAAAATGCCAAGTCATGAAAACACAGTGTATTGTGGGAAGATATAACAAAGCAATTCTAACTGGCAAAGAGTTTATCCAGTGGAAAGATGTAAAAACACATGGGAAAGAAACAATATTTAGAATCCACCAAGGTAAGACAAATTAGGTTGATAAAACTAAAATCACACAGATATATGATCATTAAATCTGGACTGATAGAAATGAAAGACAAATTTGAATCACTTAATTTCCACAAACCTCATTTTTATAACACTATTCTTCCTTTCCTTTTCATTTATTTAAAAATTTTTTTTATTTTTTTTGAGACAAGGTCTTGCTTTCTTGCCCAGTGTAGAGTGCAGTTGCACAATCTCAGTTCACTGCAACCTCCACCTCTCAGTTCAAGAGAGTCTCCTGCCCCAGCCTCCTGAGTAGTTGGGATCACAGATGTGTGCCACCATACCTGGAGAATTTTTGTATTTTTAGTAGACACGAGATTTTGCCATGTTGGCCACGCTGGTCTTGAACTCCTGATCTCAGGTGATCCACCTGCCTTGGCCTCCCAAAGTTCTGCGTTTACAGGTGTGTTCCTTTGCTTTTTAAGTTGAGTCCTGAAGTGGCTCACACCTATAATCCCAGCACCTTGGGAGGCCGAGGTGGGCGGATCACTGAGGTCAGGAGTTCGAGACCAGCCTGGCAAACATGGTGAAACCACATCTCTACTAAAAATATAAAAATTAGCCAGGCATAATGGTGTGTACCTATAGTCCCAGCTACTCAGGAGGCTGCGGCATGAGAATCATTTGAACCCAGGAAGCAGAGGTTTCAGTGAGCTCAGCCACCTCACTCCAGCCTGGCTGACAGAGCATGATTCTGTGTCAAAAATAAACAAACAAACAAATAAATAAATAGAATCCTAAATCTAGAATAACACTAATCTTATTTATTTATTTTCAGAGACAATTTCTGTTGCCTACAATACACTGAGATTATACTGCCCTGCTGTCTTAAACTCCTGGGCTCAAGTGGTCCTCCCACCTCAGCCTCAGCCTCCCAAGTAGCTGGGACTACAGGCACATGTCACCAAGTCAGGCTAATTAAAAAAAAAAAAAAATTTTTTTTTTTTTTGGTAGAGACTGGGTTCTCACTATGTCGTCTAGGTTGGTCTTGAACTCCTGGCCTCAAGCAATTCTCCCAAAGTTCTGGGATTACAGGCATAAAGCCTGTAATCAGCCTCCCAAAGTTCTGGGATTACAGGCATAAAGCCATCATGCCTAACAATAAATAAATCTAATTCCAAATGGTATAATAGCTTTTATTTTCTTTTTAAGACTAACTTCTGAATTTTAAAATTTGCATCATACCTGCTTTATGCCTGTCAATTCCATGCAAAATTCTGAAAGAATTGGATGTTCCTGAGGTTGAACATAAGCATGGAACTCAGATTCAATCTGTCCAGTTGATGTGTTCAGCAATACTGCTGGAAATTCAACTAACAAAAGAAACATCAATTGACAGTTAAATATATAATTTTAAAATTAATCCTGTAATTATCCTAAATTAAATACACATTATCATTTTAATAGCATTATTAAACAACCAATTTTCAGTAAAAGCATATTAAAATGGCCAAAGCAGTGTGACATAAAGGTTATAACAAAGTTATGCTAAAGAATAAATCAAAACACTGAAGTTATGGTATGTTGTCTTAAAAGAAAACTCAATATAATTAAATACAAAGACCATATGGAATATAAAATTTACTCCTTTTCGCAAAGGTATTTTTTTTTAGTTTCTATGCCATTGAGGTATTTTATGTCATATAAAACAACTATTTTATATAATAACATATTTAGGTATTTGAGATTTTGCTCTTTCTTATTCAACACAAGTTTTATATTAAACTACCAATACATAAACCATCATATTTTCTTAAGCTCTTGGCTGATTTATGTCTATAAACTTTAAAGTGACTTATTTGGTGCCAGCCTTGGCCATTGGTAGTCCAGACTTACTTATTTCCTGGCTATGGTGGCGTTTCCCATCATTCCAGCACGTCGATTCAAAATCAATGACAATTAAGTAGTCAAACAACTGCTCTGCAAAAGATCAAGTTGTTCTTATGCTTTACCAGTGCTGAAAGTGCAAGGCTACAAAGTGCAAAGAAACTAAGCATACTACTTACTGGATTTGCTTCTTCCTAGATTCCCATTTGCTGATGCAATTGACTTTCTCCTAATTAATCCAAGCTGCCTAAAAATGTGAAGCAATCCAAATATGATCAGTGAACTCATGCACACTCCTGTTTGAATAGGCTACCAAACTAATAGTACTGGGCAACAATCACATTATTTATTGTGACCAAAGGGAAACTGAACTGGACTTTGGGTTTACCTGCATAGGCCTGAAAAATATGATTTGCAAATTTAGGCTAATTTGTTGGTTTTGCTTTTGAGACAGGGTCTCGCGTTGTCACCTAGGTTGCAGTGTAGTGGTATGATCACTGCTCACTGCAGCCTCAATCTCCCGGGCTCAAGCAATCCTCCCACCAGTTTCCTAAGACTACAGGTGCACGCTACCATGGCCACCAGCTTTAAAAAAATTTTTTTTGTAAAGGCAGGGTCTCACTATGTTGCCCAGGCTTGTCTCAAACTCCTGGGCTCCAGTGATCCTCCCACGTCAGCCCCCCAAAGTGCTGGGATTATAGGCCTGAGCCACTGTGTTCAGCCAATTTACACTAATTTTATGTTACCCTTATTTACAGTAATACTGAGGCAAATGATTGTAGAGGTAAAAAACCACTGGAAATCTTATTTTTACCTCTGCATTTTTTAAGCTCTTGCTACATGTACAGTGCAGTTTTAAGAAGACAATGTAAGACATGGTTTAGTCTTCCATCTTAAAAATCTGGGTAAAGAAACAAAAAATAGGGCCAGGTACAGTGGCTCATGCCTATAATTCCAGCACTTTGGGAGGCCAAGATGGGTGAATTGCTTGAGGTCTGGAGTTCAAGACCAGCCTGAGCAATATGGTGAAACCCCACCTCTATTTTTTGTTTTTTTTAAAAAAGAAGCTTATTGAGGTCATAAGTGCAAGTAAAACAAACTACTTGGCATTAGGTAGAGTTTTAACTAAGCAGACACCTCTTGTAGTTTTCTGTGTTTAAGAGGTGAGAGGGAAGTGCCAGGATTTGGGTATAATCGTATCATTTATTGATTGCTTACTACATAGCAGGTACTAAACTGACAGCCTCCTTTAATTCTCAACAAGTGTAGCAGGTAGAAACTTTTGCTATCTATATTTTATGGATGAGAAAAGTGATTCTGTAATTTGCCAAAGAACATAGCTTTGGTACGTCAACCCAGGACTGTCCAACTCTGAAGCCCCCATGCTATTTGCTTATATTACATTCTTCTAGTAATCAGAAATGCGCACAGAGCGTCTAGGAATCAGGGAGGACACAATAATTCATACTGTTAATTAAAAGGATCACTAGGAAATGGGTTGAACACCTTGATGGGTGCAGTGTGCCTTGTCTGAGGCCTCCAACCAGTCTGCAGGGCACTGTCACGTCCAGTCGTTTCCCGAAGCCTAGAATGGGCAAGCACTGGCTCACCGCCACACAGTCAAGACCTCAGGGTTCGTCAGCCTCGGGCTCCTGTCACCCTTGGGTAGAAGGCGGCCCAAGGCTGTAGACCGAGGTCTTTCCAACTGTGCCACAGAGGACAGGTCGCAGACGCCGGGGCTGCGGAGAATGGAGGCAGTCACCGCAGCCGCCACCTGCCCTGCTCTGCTCTACCGGAACGCCCCCCTCCCCACTCCCCAACCCGAAACCCCTCATGTACCGTGCGAGCCGCTTGGTCGCCATTCCCGACACTCCTTGCTCTTCCAAGTCCAACTTCCGGAAATCGCTCGTCTTCTACTTCCGGTCCGTTCAAATCTGCCGCGAGACTGAGGAGAAGGTTGTGGCTGGCGGCTGTGGTTAAGGCGGGGCGGGCCTCTGCTCTCCGCCCGGCTTCTCTTTTGCGTTTCCCAGACTAGGGGGCGTGGGGAGTGGTTTCGGGCTAGGAAGCCGCTCCGCAGCCCCTCCTTTCCCTTCTGCCAGCGGGCGGACGCCAGTTGTAGCCATTGGGAAACCGTTAGGAATCCGGTAACGGTAAACGACTCTAACCGTAAATCGGTTTGGGTAGAGCGGCGCGGGTGTCCAGTCCGCGGAACTGGGAGATCGTTGGCACTCTCGCCTTTTTAGGGGGACGGGAAGAGTTCGGTAAACTGAATTGAGAAGCGGATCCTAGGGAGATTGAAAGCAGTCAAGCCCGCGCAGCTCTCCCGCTAGGAGGCGGCACGCGGGGGAATCGGGGCACTGGAGTTTCCCCAGCTCTAGCTCATCTTTCTTCACAGCCATGGAGCCAGAGAGGGAAGGGACCGAGGGACACCCCAGGAAGGCCAGGAAGAGGAGGCAAGCCCCAAACAAGCTGGTCGGGGCGGCTGAGGCGTTGAAAGCCGGTTGGGATCTCGAGGAGAGTCAGCCCGAGGCCAAGGTGAGCTACGGGGCCGAGCAGGTGGCCCGAGGAGGTTTAAAAGTAAAAAAATAGCAAGGCACAGTAGTGTGTGCTTGTAATCCCAGGAACTTGGGAGGCCAAGGCAGGAGGGTCACTTGAACCCAGGAGTTCAAGGCTGCAGTGAGCTATGATCATACCACTGCAGTCCAGCCTGAGTCCAGCAGAGCCGAGACCTTGTCTCAAACACAGAAAAGCCTGATGAATGGCCGAAGGGATGAATGAGTATATTTAGTTCTCAATAAATGGTATGGTGATAGAGATAATCAGCCTTCTTACTCCCCTACTGCAGCAGTCCCCAACCTTTGGCACCAGGGACTAGTTTCTCCCTCACCCAGATGCTGTCAGGGGCCCTGGATTCGGGCGGGCTCTCCGCCCTGGCCTCTCAGAACCTGCTCCCTGATCTTTAAAATGGGAATGAGTGTAATACCGGTAATCTTCCTGACACAAGGCTGTCTTTGGCGATTTAAAAGTGGGATAGTGAGTCGGCTTGGCGCGGTGGCTCACGCCTGTAATCCCAGACTGAGGCGGGCGGATTGACTGAGGTCAGGACTTCGAGACCAGCCTGGCCAAGGTAGCGAAACCCCATCTCTACTAAAAACGCACACTCAAAGCTAGCCTGGTGTGGTGGCGGGCGCCTATAATCCCAGCTACTTGGGAGTCTGAGGGAGGATAATCTCTTGAACCAGAGAGGTGAAGGTTGCAGTGAACTGAGACCGCACCACTACACTCCAGCCTGGTCAATAAGAACGAAATTTCTGTCTAAAAACAACAACAAAAAAAAAACCTTGGATAGTGGGCTGGGCGTGGTGGCTCACTCCTATAATCCCAGCAGTTTGGGAGGCCGAGGCGGGAGTATAATTTGAAGCCAGGAATTCTAGACCAGCCTGGGCAACATAGCGAGACCTCATCTCTTTAAAAACAAAAAAAAGCCGGGCGCGGTGGCTCAAGCCTGTAATCCCAGCACTTTGGGAGGCCGAGGCGGGTGGATCACGAGGTCAAGAGATCGAGACCATCCCGGTCAACATGGTGAAACCCCGTCTCTACTAAAAATACAAAAAATTAGCTGGGCATGGTGGCGCGTGCCTGTAATCCCAGCTACTCAGGAGGCTGAGGCAGGAGAATTGCCTGAACCCAGGAGGCGGAGGTTGCGGTGAGCCGAGATCGCGCCATTGCACTCCAGCCTGGGTAACAAGAGCGAAACTCCGTCTCAAAAAAAAAAAAAAAAAAATGGCGTAGTGCCTGGCACATAATAGGAATCTTTGCCCAACAAATATTTATTGCTGTCTTCTGAGTGCCAGGAGTTTTTCTATGTTCTAGCTATCCTGGGGCACAAAAACATGATTCCTTGCCATCGAGCAGTTTACATTCCAGTAGGGAAGGGGTCCCCAACCCCCTCTGCACAGACTGGTGCCTGCCTGTCTGGAGTCCCTAACCCACTGACCACAGACTGGTCTGCTAGGAACTAGGCTGCAGAGCAGCAGAAGGTGAGTGGTGAGCGATCCAGCATTACCACCTGTGAACTGTGCATGAGAGAATCCTAGGTTGTGTGCTCCTCATGAGACTCTAATGATAAATGTAATGCACTCAAATCATCCTGAAACCATCCCCCACCCCCTTCTTCCTTTTGGTAGAAAAATTGTCTAACACGAAACTGGTCCCTAGTGCTAAAGGTTGGGGACTGCTGCAGTAGGGGAGTAAGAAGGCTGATTATCTCTATCATCCATACCATTTATTGAGAGCTAATATACTCATTCATCCCTTCGGTCATTTATCAGGCTTTCTTGTGTTTGAGACAAGGTCTCGGCTCTGCTGGACTCAGGCTGGACTGCAGTGGTATGATCATAGCTCACTGCAGCCTTGAACTCCTGGGTTCAAGTGATCCTCCTGCCTTGGCCTCCCAAGTTCCTGGGATTACAAGCACACACTACTATGCCTTACTATTTTTTTACTTAAAAATTTTTTTGTAGAGAGGGGTCTCAAACTGTCTGCCTCTTACAGGCATGAGCCACTGCACCCAGCCGTTCATTGGTTTTTATTGTCTATCATGTGCTAGGGCACTGACCTAGGTGCTTGAGGTACATCAGTAAATAAAGTTCACGGCCCACTAGGTCTTATATTCTAGTGGGCAGAGACAGATGATAAAAGTAAGTTATATAATATGTTAGAGGGTGATTAGGGATATGATTTTTTTTTTTTTTTAATACAGTCTTGCTCTGACACCCAGGCTGAACTCAGCTCACTGCAGCCGCCTCCTCCCAGGTTCAAGTGATTCCCCACCTCAGCTTCCCAAGTAGCTGGGATTACAGGCATGTGCCATCTCACCTGGCTAATTTTTATATTTTTAGTAGAGACAAAGTTTCACCATGTTGTCCAGGCTGGTCTCAAACTTCTGACTTCAGGTGATCTGCCCTCCTTGGCCTCCCAGAGTGCTGGGATTACAGACATGAGCCACCGTGCCTGGTGATTTTTTAAGACAGGGACTCACCCTGTCACTTGGGCTGGAGTGCAGTGGTATGATTTCTGCTCACTGCAGCCTCCCTGGTTCAAGCAATCCTCCCACCTTGGTTCCACCAATTAGATGGGACTACAGATGTGTGTCACTGTGCCAGCTAATTTTTTTTTTTTTTTTTTTTGTAGAGATGGGGTTTTGCCATGTTGCTGAGGCTGGTCTGGAACTCCTGGACTAAAGAAATCTGTCCACCTTGACCTCCCAAAGTTCTGGGATTACAGGCATGAACCACTGTACCTGGCTCTTTTTTTTTTTTTTAAAGAGAGGGTCTCCAACTCGTGGCATCAAGCAGTTCACCTGCCTCAGCCTCCCATAGGGCTGGGATAATGGGTATGAGTCACCACACAGAGCTGAAAATTTTTTTTATTAAAATGGGATTTAAGTTTTTTTGCCTATCAAATTTACAAAACAATGTTTCATGTTTATTTGATAAGAAATGTAATAAGAGTGACAATCACATCTTTTGTTACATTGAAACAATCTCAAACTTATAGAAAAGTTGTAAGAACAGTATCAAAACCTCCCCTCAGCCGAGTAGTTGCTGATGCAATGGTCTTATTTCCACCTACCCCTCCAGATATTTTATTATATATTTTTTATAAAACTACATAATCATGGTGTGACCATCAAAATCAGGAAATTAACATGGATATATTACAACTCTCTACTCCTCAGATCCCATCCACGTTTTCTCTTTGTTTGAATAATCCTTTTTAGCAATGGGATCCAGTCTAGAATTGCATCAAATTAATTGTCATGTCTCCTTCAAACAGTCCCTCAGTCTTCCCTTGACATTCATGACTTTACTGCTTTTGAAGAATCTTGGGCCAATTATTTTGTTGAATGTTCCTTAAATTAGATTTGTCTGTTTCTTCATTGATTAGATTCAAGTTATATACATCTTTATCAGGACTATCACAGGAGTGACACTCTGCTCCCTTGCAGATTGTATACAATTTGATTTGTCCCATTATTGGTGATATTAACCTTGATAACTCGATTAAGGTAGTTTCTACTAAACTTCTCTAAAGTTTTTTCTCTTTATAACTTTAATTCTAATTTATTTATTTATTTAGACAGGATCTTGCTATATTGCCCAGGCTAGTCTGGAACTCCTGGGCTCAAGCAGTCCTCTCATCTCAGCATCAGTGTAGCTGAGATTATAGGCCCAAGCCACTGCTCCCAACTCTTTTTATAATGTGAGCTCTTTTTATAAAGCTCAAACACTTTGGGCTTATGCTTTACTTTTTTATCAGTATGAACTCAGTGATACCTACTTTATTCAGTGTATTATTATCTTTTACTGGATTGTGATGTTTTAAATATCCAAGATGTTGTCATTAAGCTAGCTTCTGTGGCTTTTTGACATAGCATCATTTGAGCATTTCATTACTTTCTGGCACAAACAGATATTCCAGGCTCATTTGTGCTTTCCCTGCCCCAACCCTGGAATCAGTCATTTCTCTTAGGGTACCTGGTTTTTTTTTTAGTGGAAAATGATATTTAGATTTGGGTGCTATGGCAATGTCAATACAGATGCTTCTCGACTTAAAATAAGATTATGTCCGGATAAACCCATCATAAATTGAAAATTTTGTAAGTTGAAAGTGTACAAACATACACATTTACATTTAAATATTTTTCTGTATTTTATTAATGTGAACTCACATAAGTATCTCCACTTTAATCTAAATCTAGTACCACAGGGTTAATTCTAGTTTTCTCCTTTTTTTTTTTTTTTTTTTGTAAGACAAAGTATCGCCCTGTCACCCAGGCTGGAGTGCAGTGCCACAATCTCTGCTTATTGCAACCCCTGCCTCCCAGGCTCAAGCGATTCTCAGCTTACTGAGTAGCTGGGATTACAGGCACCTACCACCATGCTAGGCTCATTTTTGTATTTTTA